GTCTTAGGAGCAGGTCGAAACAATGAGGGCCTGAAAATGGCCCTCCGTTTCAGGCTGAAAACTCTGGGTCTGAAAAGACCCAGAAATAGGCTGAAACGAGGWARGGCCTGCAGGCCCTCGTTTTTCAGCATCCAGGCTGAAATGAACGGGGCCTGTAAGCCCTAAGTTTTAGGCTTTTAGGCTGAATGTCCGGGACGGGCCTCGTAGGGCCTGTGTGGCTACTCAGTATGCCACAGAGGGGGGGGGAAGGGGGTGCGCGCAAGGATATCGTTGGCTGTAATTGGGAACGACAACCGGCTTGATATATTTCAGTAAACACGAAGACGTACGGCCCGTTTTATATACGACGATATATACAGTTCTGTTTGTGACGATATATATATATATCCTCTTCTCCCTCTCTGCCTACGGTTTACCGGGCAGTTCTATTTGACGATATAACGATATATATATATATATATATCGTCACAAACAGAACTGCCCTGTAAACCGTAGGCAGAGAGAGAGAAGAGGACAACAAACGAGGGGCTGTGACAAACCTGTTTCGTCGGAGTTTCAACGACTCATCCGGAGGCTGAACCCTCAACAGTCTGCAGAATCCCCTCACTGATTACACTGTAAATCATAATCTACCTTAACCAAAATCAAAGTAGACTATCACTCACCCACACCAGATGGAAAACTCTACAGACTGTCGGGTCACACCCCATCACAAGCCATATATATATATATATCTATTTGTGATGATATTTGACGATATATATATATTGTGACGATATATATTGTGACGATATATATATATATGTGGCAGATATTGGAGGAAAGGTTGAGGTTCGTTTGCTGTATAACTAAAGTCGAGAATGATGTGAGTTTTTTCTTTTTTTTTCATTTCGAAAGAATTTTGTGCGTTTTCTGTAGTTCAGTGAAAAGTCTTTACGTTGAACTTGTTAAGTTGCTTGATCTTTGTGGTTATCCCAAAAAAGAAAGTTGGCCACAGTTCTCCGCTAACCGAAGTTGGATGGAACCAACGGAAAAAAAACGAAATCTAAGGAAATCTAAGGAAAGTGAGAATAAAAAACAAACCAAAATAAAACGGTCGTGTTTCACGTTTGGAGAAAGGTGGTTCGAATCCGCGACTGCACTCTAGTAGTTTGTTTTGAGGGTCTTCTCTGCCGCACGTGCGTGCGCCAGAGAAAAATAATGGAAGTGGTAGGTTGGGACGGAGACTCATGAAGAATAAGGACCTCTCTAGACCATCTGGGTACCTACATGGCCGACTACGGAAGGTGGCTGTCAATGCCTGTCATATGTCTACCATCCCACCTCTACAACAACCTGGGCTTTAAAATAAAAACAAAGGGGGAGGGAAGGTGGGGGGGCCGGCGTAGAAGCTGGTGGACTCGAATAAATTATGCGCTGTCCCGCGTGAAGAGAGAGAGAGAGAGAGAGAGAGAGAGACGACTTTATTCCCGCATGTCAGACTCTTCTCATCAGAATCTCATGAATAATTTTTGTCTCGGATAATGGTTTCGGATGTCGTGAAAAGCTTGGGGGATTAGTGATATACGAACATTTGACTGTTGTATCAGTGCGTGATTGGAGTTTCTAATCAAACTCTCTCGATTTCCTACATTGTTGTTGATGCAGGTGCTCACTCTCTGCCATGCACTACCGTAAGTCACTCACTCCTTGCCTTCGTCCTACATCCTTCGTTGCTCTTATTGCATGCCTTTGGTGAAAGTCACGTACTTGGATTCTTGAAACAAATAAAGTGAGGGATTTTGAAGCTTTTGAATAGACATGGAATTGTTGTAGAAATGGTTGGTGACATTAGTCTCTTTTTTATCACGTTGTTTCTTGATTTGTCCTTTCTCCTTTATTTTGTGGTTATCCATCAAATAGCACGAAGTCCCTTCCTGATATTTTCGAATTTCAAGCCGAGACGGAACTTCGTAGAAAAATTAAATGAAATAAATACGTGCATCTAACCGTATGCCACGAAAGACCGCGCATAGCTAGGCATGCATATAGGGATGATTGGTAGCAATGGCCTACGTTAGAACTTAGAACCATTTTTGGGTTTTTGTCTCGTGCCTAAAATTTGCCAGTTTGGTAAAGACAAGCCCATGGGCATTGCAGGCCGTCCGACGTTACAGTGTGGTGGTCGGAAATTAATTCAGCAGCCCATTTGTCGTCTTTCTATAAGATTATGAAACTGGCGCTGTATTTGAGGCAGATTAGTTTTCCAGTAGGCCCTTTTTGCCCAACCGACAAAGTTCGGGAACAGTAAACCGAAAAGGTTCTTGCGTGGGCTGTATCTACCAAGTCTGCCATGTGTATATGTGTGTGTATATATATATGTGTGAACCGACAGTCTGTAGAGTTTTCCATCTGGTGTGGGTGAGTGATAGTCTACTTTGATTTTGGTTAAGGTGGATTATCACTTACAGTGTAATCAGTGAGGGGATTCTACAGACTGTTGAGGGTTCAGCCTCCTGATGCATCGGTGGAACTCCGACGAAACAATTTGTCACAGCTCCTCGTTTGTTGTCCTCTTCTCCCTCTCTGCCTACGGTTTACGGGGCAGTTCTATTTGACGATATATACACTGTAGAGTTTTGAATCTGGTGTGGGTGAGTGATAGTCTGCTTTGATTTTTGCCACAGGTACCTTGAGGGCAGTGGTTGGTGCCCACCTCAGGGTATCATCAGTTGCCGGGCAGTTGTTGATGCTTAACCACCGCCGGGAAGTTAAGGTGGATTATCACTTGCAGTGTAATCAGTTAGGGGATTCTGTAGACTGTTTTTGAGGGTTCAGCCTCCTGATGAGTAGGTAGGTGAAACTCCGACGAAACAGTTTGCCACAGCCCCTTGTTTGTTGCCCTCTTCTCCCTCCCTCCCTCTCTGCCTAGGGTTTATCGAGCAGCTTGGTTTGACTATATATATATAGATAGATAGATATAGATATAGATATATATTGCGCTACTTTGGATTCCCTTGCATGATTGAGACTCAGTTTTTCCGCATGAAGGAATCAAGAACATTTGAATTTTTGGTGTATAGAAATCGAAATAAAAACTAGTACCTGAAAAGGGCAACGAGTACCAGTTGCTCGTCGAGGGCGATGACTAGGATGGCTTCTTTGGACTCCGTGCTACCTAAGTTTTATCGATTCCTTCTTCGTTTTCTTGTTTTCATCTGATTCAGCCATGATTTGAGCTCCTCCTCTGTTTACTAACAGCTGCATGTGTACCATTCAGCTGCATGGGTTGGGTTGTAAGTTGCAACCTAAGAGACTGGCTCGCCTGACAGATTGAAGTTTTCTGTTCCTGCAGGAAGCAGCAACGGTGGGTAGCAGTTGTTCGTCGCCTCCCCCGTCGCCAGGAGATTGCACTGACGACTGCAAGGCAGCTGTAAATGCACTGCAAACCTGTCTTAAGACTTCTGAGGACAACCCATTGTCGAGCAGTATGAAGACGCAATTTCAACCCTACATTGACAGTTGCGGTCAGGGTGCTGCCGGTCTCAGTCTTCCTTCGACGCTGCCGAACGTGAACACAAGTAATCCATCTGCCTCCAATTTGCTAAACTCGAGTGTCACGGGTACAATCGCTTCTACTGCTGCAGAGATGCTTCCTTCAAATGTCACTGGCACAATCGCGTCTACTGCTGCAGTGATGCTTCCTTCAAATGTCACTGGCACAATCGCTTCTACTGCTGCAGAGGTGTTTCCACCAAATGTGACCGGTGCAATCGCTTCGGATGCGGCCCAAGTCCTGGGACCGGATGTCACTCGCGCAATTTCTTCACAAGGAACAGTTGAGGCTTTGGTTTCTCTTAGTCTGGCTTCGCGGATTCCGTCCAAGTCCCCTTCCTCGGCAGCTAGTGCGCAGGCTCTTGGGAGTTCGCTTGGCTCAAAGGCATGGCCAAACACGCGGGCAGCCATTGGCACCAGCATCTTCGCCGTGGCCATCGCGCTCGTGCAGCTATAATTATCGCCCCCAGCAGCATTTTTTCCCCACAGACGCCGCGCTTGTGAATCTATGATCGTTCGTAGATCATTTCGAAATCTGGAGGTAAGCCACCTCACCCTGCTCGCCTTGCAAACGACAATGTCTGTGGACGAGTGATGATGGGAAATGGGAAACCGTCCCCGCACAATCAATCATCTTCTTCCTTGATGTTCCGCAAACTGAAATCTGCACAGACAGGGTGGGTATTAGGTAAGGCGCGTGCCTCTAAATTAATGGTTTCTGGGACAAAGTTCGTGGCCCAGATGAAAGGCAAGATGCCGGAGGAGACTGCGGGCATGCTCACACTGGGACTTATTCGACTGGACTCTGGACGTGATTACAGTCAGATGCATCATTGCGGTCATAAAAGTTTAGAAAAGTGCCAGTGTGAGAGTAACAAGGTAAACGATGGATGCTGCACGGAACGGAATGCTCATGTTTTTTTTTGGCCAATTCTATCCCGATCCCGATCCGTTAATGCTAGGGTCCTGGCGGGTGCATGAGCGCAAAGCTTTTTTTTTTTTTTTTTTTTCACACCCCCCTCCCTCCCTCTACACCCCCCGGCCCCTTATCGAATCGACGGAGGAACTAGTATAGGGAATGTTCAAAATACATGTCAAGGGAAGAAGGGGAGAAGGACTTTCAAGTTGGGAGAGGTGGTTAAGATTGGGGAGCCGTCCTCGCTTGGTGGTTTAGTCAATGCCGATGCGGCAGGGCAGGAGGGGGTACGCTGATCGTTGCGCAATCCTTTAAGAATGTAAGAGCACCATCTCAATTTGCCGAGGTGGAAAAGGCTGCCCCTGTGTGTGTGTTTGGCCATGCGGTAGGAGGAGGGAGGAGAGCGACGAGTGGCAAGGGGTGCCGTACGAAAGGGGTGGAAGGGCAGGAGGAGGGAGGAGGAGAGGAAAGGAGAAGGCAAAGGGAAGCCGAGAGGGATTACTTTGTGAGATTTTCCGGTTCATATTTCAAAGGCAAGTGTCAGACTATAGCCGCCTCTTACTTCACTACTATCTACTCGATAGCTCCAAGTGCAGAGAGAAGAGAGGGGGCGCTCTGCAGAAGCGAGGGCCAGTCCGTACATGTGCGGTAGAGGAAATGCTTCCGTACCCTGCAAAGGCTACGTACAGGCAGTTGCTGCATCAATAGGAAGAAGACATCCTGCCCTTTCTTGGGCTTATTAATTGTCATCAGGATGTGCATGTGACGGATATCGGAGGTAATTTTTTCGTACTGTACGAATAACGATTATTATCAGTGTTATTATTTTAATAATGTACTCTGAGGGAGAGTGGGTTGGATATGATGTCCTCGAAGCCATTTTCAAAACGTTGGTCATGTTATGCCACGATCCTACTGCTATGAGACTCGTTGTCACTTTTTTTTTTTTTTTTTTTTTTCAAGGTCAGTTGCAGGAAACCTGATCCGACTGCTAAGAGACGTGATGTTACTTCAATTTTTTCTAAGTTCATTTTCAGGAAGCCTTATTGTGGTGTACTGCCTGCGCAACGGTTTTTTCAGGAAGCCTTATTGTGAAGGAGAAGGATTGTCGTTCTTTCTCTCTGAGGTCAGTGGATGGAGTGGCTGATCGTCGTGATCAATAAGGCCTATAGGTTCTAATGGACGTGAGCGTCGTTCCGTCTTAAGTTTTCCGTCTTTCTCTCTCTCGTTCTCTCAGAATCTCTCTCTCTTTTGTTTGTCATCTCTCTCAGACTCTCGGCCAGCTGGAGCTTTATTTGTCGTCTCTTTACTTGTGTTTTCCTCTTTTTTTTTTGTTTTTTTTGAAAAACACAGCTCCAATCTATTTGTGGGAAGCATCACGTGCTGGGAACCGGGCCCACCAACGAAGTCGATTATGCTTGATTGCGTGGCGTTGATGAAGACGTGGCTGCCAAAGGTGTCCTCTTTTTGCGTATGGACTGACTTGAAAATCAATGGAAGGGGAGTGCGTTTTGGTGTATTTTCGTTAGTGGTTACGCCGTCTACAGCAAGGTTTTCGTGATTTGCTGAAGGATGAATACATGCAAATGCCAAATGGCAAATCGAAGAAGGGTTAACAGCAAAAATATTGCTGTTTCGAAGTTTGGCAGCAAAAATGTCGTCCGCTCGAAGTTTCCTTTGCAAAAATAGAGGTTTCGTTGCAGCTTTATGGGGTTCTGGTAGTTTGCCAGCAAAAATACCGCGTTTTGCCCAGTTTCACGGTGAAGGACCCCTAGGCCTCTGGCCTCAGGGACTCAGGGACTCAGCGTTCTGGTTTTTTTTTTTTTGTTTGGTTGTTTTTTGTTTTTTTCGGGGCATGGCCGACGCATCTAGGCATGCCCACGGCCGAGATGCCTCGGCCACGCCCGTGGGAAAAAAAGAGAAAAAAAAAGAAAAAAAAAGAAAAGAAAAGCTGAGTGCCTCAGGCCAGAACTCTGAGTCCCTGAGTCCCTGAGGCCAGGGGCCTAGGGGTCCTTTGCTGTGAAACTGGGCAAAACCCGGTATTTTTGCTGGCAAACTACCAGAACCCCATAAAGCTGCAACGAAATCTCTATTTTTGCAAAGGAAACTTCGAGCGGACGACATTTTTGCTGCCAAACTTCGAAACAGCAATATTTTTGAAATTAACCCTTTTTTGTTCCTTTTATGATCAGATGCAGGACGATGTTCACATCTCTGTTCTTCTGTTGAGGGTATGATCGTAGAATTCTTACTTGGCTGCGAATAGACTTGGTTTGTTGCACCCTCACGAAAGAGCTAGAAGTCGGCCAAAATTTTCTTACTTCTTCCTCTCTTTGCCTCTAGCTCTCTGATTCTCTCTCTCTGTCGCACTCTCACTCTTTCTCTTACCGGCTAACACAAGCACTCGCTTACTTAAATCACTTTCTCACTCACTTTCTCTCGGTTTGTTGCACCCTCGCGAAAGAGCTAAAAGTCGGCCAATTTTTTTACTTCTTCCTCTCTTTGGCTCTAGACCAGCTAACACAAGCACTCGCTTTGTCACTCACTTTCTCAACCATTCGCTCTTTCCGTCACTTTCAATCACTCGATCACTCATTCAGTCCGTCCTTCTGTCGCTATGTACACACCCCTCACGCACTTGGTCGGTTGCCTCCTCACTCAGTTGCTCCTCGCTCTCTCACTGACTTGCTTGGTTACTCACTTCTTTGCTACCTCGATCGCTCCTTTGTAAGAATGGCCTCCTTACATCATTTACTTCTTTGCGGCAGAATACACCTGAGCTCCCTTAATGGGTGGGAGGGGTGGTATGTGGCCCAGGCGGTGGCGGTGGGGCCGCACCTGCATGTAGCCCTGGCCCGTGGGGGACTGCATCCCCGCTTGGTGTGTGTGTGTGTGTGTATATCTGTGTATATGTGTGTATGTGTGTGTGTGTGCGTGTGTGTGCGTGTGTGTACGTGTGTGTGTGTGTGTGTGTGTNTGTGTGTGTGTGTGTGTGTGTGTGTGTGTGTGTGTGTGTGTGTGTGTGTGTGTATGTGTGAATGGTCACCTGCCGAGCGGGCAGTTGTAACGCTGAACGCTATTAAAAGCTGCAGTCGGGGGTTTGGATGGAGTTGAGCGTGGGCGTTCATAGCCTTCAAGTGTTCACCCGGGTTCATAGGAGTGACCTATGAGGCCAACCAATGGCTAAAATTGTGGTAGGGCTCGCACCAATTCAAAAAGGTCGATGACGGAGCTTCCTGTTCTTTCTTCCCCAACACTCAATACAAAACGTACACTCTTTTAAGTTTGACCTTGCTTAAATCACGCGCTATCTCATGTCGGAAAGACAAAATTTAAACAGGACACTGCCTTGATGGAAGCTCAAGACGGTCACTTGAATCGCATGCCAAAGCAGTTTTGTGTAGTAGCTCCTGAGCACAGGCATCGTAGCCTCAGTCTGCCGAACGAGTGGCCCTACTGCAGAGCCTCCTTTCATGCTTCCTGCTCCTCCCCCGCACGTAGCCCTTGCTTCTTCCCCCTGATGCCGCCGAAAGTACCCCGTACTCCCAAAATTGTGGACAGACGGGACATCTTGTGGAGGATTGCCCATAACCACGACAGAAGGTTAATTTGGTCAAAGGTGAAAGGACCACCACTCGCGCCTCCAATGGCTACCAATGGCTACCAATCGTGGAGCATTGATTCCATTACGACCTTAAGGGCGCCTCAGCATCGACGGCCTCGACAACCACAAATGTTGAGGACGTTTGAGCAATTACCCTTAATTAGGAGCAGCTGCAGAGTTTGGCTGGATTCGTTGGAGCAATCCGCGACCGCCGACCTGCTAATACGGATCAGGACAAGGATGATTGGGTGCCAATGGGTGGTGCTTGTCGCTCGATAGTGAACCTGCTCGCCCTCAAGATTCAAGGACGACCAAATCGATGGTGCTTAACATATTCAGTCTGAAAGAACTAGATTTTCGCACATCACTTAGTCTTACGAGAATTGCTAAAAAGAGAAAAAAAGTAGCAAAAGTTTGCTCAGGTGGTGGAGCACGAGACGAGGGATATAAATTGTGTGTTCCCCTCGCTATTCCAGAATCAACCTCGAATGCATGTGCCCCTGGGCAGAATCACCCTTTTTTTTAAGGGTGAGAAGCTTAGGCAGTTAGGATTAATATTTGATGCGCAGCGAATATATAGCGCTTTCGTATAGACATTGCTATTAGGATAGTTTTGTTGTTGTAACGGATCATGACTTCTTTTTGAGTGAAGTATGGACACTGTAAGACTTGTAAGGCTTCGCCGCACGGGAAACAAAACGATAGTTTTGTTGTTGTAACGGATCATGCATCTTCCTGGAGAAAATGGCCAGGTTCATTGTTTGCTATAAATAATAACGAGTGTACTTTGCCACCTTTCGTGGGCAGATGCGCTCGTTTCGTTTTCACTTCGTGTGCCGTGCGGCGAGAGCCGTAGTGTAGATAAAGAACATGGTATAACACTGGAAACCTTCTTTGAATGTTTTGTGTTAAGGTTTAGTTGTAGAATTCGTTCATAGTTCTTTGCGTTGCTATTCATTTTTC